TTATTTATTTTATTTTTGTTTTATTTATTTTATTTTTGTTTTATTTATTTTATTTTTGTTTTATTTATTTTATTTTTGTTTTATTTATTTTATTTTTGTTTTATTTATTTTATTTTTGTTTTATTTATTTTATTTTTGTTTTATTTATTTTATTTTTGTTTTATTTATTTTATTTTTGTTTTATTTATTTTATTTTTGTTTTATTTATTTTATTTTTGTTTTATTTATTTTATTTTTGTTTTATTTATTTTATTTTTTATTTTTATCTTTTTTTATTTTTTATTTTTTATTTCTTTTGAATTTGCACAACTATTATTTCGTATAAATTTACTTATTTAATTTATTTAAGTATCACAAATTCTATCATGATTGGATGAGAGAAGAAATTAAAAAACTTACTCGTACAGGTCATATCCAACGGCCTGCTTATAATTTGGTGGCCGAATGGGTATTAAGAGCATGGAACCAAGTTGATCCCGCCCTTATCAAATGTTCATTCAAGTGTTGTAGCATCTTCACTACTCAAAATAGTACTGAAGAAGATTTAATGTTCAATTACAATTAGGTTAATAGCCCAGAGGCTCAAAATAAAAATAGTGAATATGTGTATATTGATGAGGATAATGCAAGTAATAGCAAAAGTATTGTTGACTTAACCCAAAACGACAATGGTAGTGAGAATAATGATAACAACTATAATATTGAAGACGATAGTAATGAAGGTGACGGCGATAAAGACGACAGCAATAAAGATGATGACGATGAAACTGATGGTAATGAAAATGATGATAGTGATAATCTAGATGCAAATAAAAATGAAAATAATCAGAATGGCATTAGAAATAACCAAGAAGGTTGTGATGAAGACACATATTATGATGAATGGGTGGTTGAGTATGTTAATTTGTGAGACTAAAAAACTTTCTAGCATATAATTTTAGAGATATTATCTCAATTATAGCAAAACAAAGAAATATTGTATCGACCTAATATATAAATAATCAAATTAAGCATTTGTTGGTTGTTGGTAATTTACTTCACGATGGGCAGATATGAAAAGTCTCTTGAAGATCTAACAATTTATTAGTTATACTATAAATTTGCTACATGATAGGCATATACAGTATGTAGATTCAATTTAAATAAAGCATTGAAAATTGCTGAACAATCAAGAAGATATTAACGAAATTTTATGTTCTATTATTATGAAATGCAAAGAAACTTATAGTATAATGCGCAAATATGAGGAGTCACTTGCAGATTTAGATAGTTTATTAAAATTTGAACCGAGATGTATTAGCATTGAGAGTGTTGTTATTCAAGCAACATTCAAACAAAATTTAACACTGAATAATACAAAATTTTATTACAGTAACCTAATTTAACAATAAATTAAAACTCTGGAATTGAATTTCACAAATATGTATATTTTTGGAGGGATAAGTTTATAAGCTAATTGCCAAGTTGAAATTGATAAGTATAAAGTATTTATTTATTAGCTAATATTAAATGTAAACAAAAAAAGTAAAATTTAATATTGTTAGAACTTTTTAATTTTTAATAATTATGTTTTATTTGATTAAATGCTATAAACTTATTTAAAAGTTATGCAGCATATATGATCGTACTGGTCCTGTGCAGCATTACATGTTGCGCAGCTATCCTAATTATATAATATTATAAAGATTTTTTTTGTTTTTGTAAATAGGATATATAGTATATTCTAGATATTATACCCAGGTCTTTTAATATTTATTCCAATTTATATACCCAAGTCTTTTAATATTTATAATCTATTTATAGACTCGGGTCTTTTATATTTTACCAAATTTTGATCTACGTAATAGACCCAGGTATAATACCTAGTGGATCTACTATGAAGAGGTGTCTTTTATATAGCAATTTACGATAATATCCAGATAATTATTTGATTACCTGTTAGATTATTCAGATATTTGAGCGATTTGGATTATCTGAATAATCAGATACAAATAAATGAATAATAAACTTATTTAGATTAAAACTCTATCCAAAACTATAAATGCTAAAACAGATTTGAATAATAAAGTTAGTTTGAATATCTGATAATAAGATATAAGTTTAAAAATCTGAATTTGTTTTAAAATAAAAAATTAATATATATATTGCAAAGTATTAAAAAAACCTCTTAAAATTTGATATAATTGTAATATTAAGTTTTTATTATCTTAATTACTTAGTTTAAATAGCTTGTTAAATTGAGCTAGCCTAAGTAGAAACATTGTGCTAATTATTATCATTATATAAAACAAAAAATAGTAAAATTATATATTTATATTACCAAATCTTTTATTAAATTAATTATTCAGTTCAGAAGTTCATATTCTTAGGTTAGTCTAATGTAATGTATAAAATTATACATATTTATTGTATATAAAATTTATGTTAATAGTAAAAAAAAATTCATACAGATTGTCATAGTCAGAAAGATGTTTTGAGCAGCCGGTGGTGTATAAAAAAGAAAAAATGTATATAACGTTAATAAAGTAAAATCAAGTTTAT